ATAAATAGGAACCTAAACCAGCTTAGTGTGGTTCCGTTTAATACCAATTTCGATGCTCAAAGTCTCTGTAAAAGAATATTATGGTCAATGGTGTGTCAATGCAGCACTAAGATCTAATAATACAAGACAGAGACAAGTCCATTGTCAGAGCAATCACATCATTACTGAACTTTAACAGAAGCTGTCTCTCGCGTGATGAACGTCTAAATCGTGACTGAAAATCCTCAAGATAAAGTTTATTGCTATGTAAAGAGAAAGTCACACAAACTGTTAGGGGGGGGGGCGGGGGGGGGGGGGGGGCCGCGCATATTTTTCTAAGAATCTTAGAAGGAGGGGAAGGGGAGTTAAGAGAAGGTCGGGTATAGTTGGACTAAAACCGCCTGGTCAGGAGGAGTGGGCTGTTTTAAAAAGGGTGTTAATTAGCAGCTACTTTAAAGGGACTTGTGGGTACTATAATCCTGATAATGAAGCAAAGATTGGAGTATGACATATCTAGTAAAGAGCTGCCAATTAAGGGTACGAACTTCTTTAAGCAGGCCTAGTTTGGGAATTTGGGATCTAAACAGAGCAGAAAAAAAAAGAAGAAAATATACAAGTTATACAGGTTGTTAGAACGCACCTTTGGACGCACATGGTTCAAACAATTCACGGAGAGAGAACAAAGAAAAGTGTGGAGAGATCAGGCTGGAGTTGTCCCTGTGTTCAGTAGCTCGTTTTAGTGAAAGCTCGGGTATCACGAAAATGAATTAAACAAACAAAACAAGAAAAAAACAAAGCCGGAAAGAGGCGCCGTACGTGCGCCATAAAATTTTTGTTGATTAGTAAGTCTATGAAGCTAATAATGTGGACACGTTAAGTTATTTAATCTGGGTTACTACAAATGACATTAGCCCAAAATAAACCCGGTTTTTGCTGTTATATGAAGGTCGAGTTGTGTAACATTTAGAGGGTTAAGTTGGCAGAAAGTCAAGTCCTATAGTTGCCCAGAAACGGACAAACGCAACGTCTGCTTTAGAGAGGGCCTTTTGGGTTTTCGTGGCCGCCGTAGTTTGCTCCTTCGCCAGTTCGAAAAAAAAAGAGGGTGATAGCGAGTGAGTGCAATCTGCAACTAGCAGGCTAGATGACCATTAAATCCAAACAACTGAACGCTTTAATTTACACATTGGTATAGATCTACTCTTCAGTTGTCCTGAGTGCCTTTGACAGCAACTTTAAACTTTCTGTGCAGAGGAGTAAAGAAGGAAGAGGAAAAGAGTTTGGTTCGGAGGAAAGATTTATGAAGTTTGGACTCGTGATGCTGAACTGATACTTTTGTGTTTTAGTGATTTGGATTTTTCTGTTTTCTTATCTCCCCGTCTGTGAGTTTACAATATTTGTTGGTATGGTGAGGCTTCTTCTCGATTGGAATGTTTTTCTGCGAGGCTCTCAGTTTGTGTGAATTCCTCACTGACACCTGAATAACAGTTATGATTGGTATGAGGGAGCTCCAAGGATGCCGGTGTTTTAAGGGCATCGAACTGGCGGGATGAGTCAGCCTCTCTTCTGCACCTACAGGGCAACATAAAACCTTTATGTAAAATGAATCTTAACTGCATTGAATCAGCGGTGTGGTACAACGGAAATGTTTTCCTTGACCTCACTCCTTATCTCCGGTCCAACCAACCTAAAAACTGTTGCAAAAACTGGGAGCTATCTGAAGGCCTCCAAGGTGACTCCCTTTTTAAAACAAACAGGAACGCGAGGGTTTTATAGCGAGACACCAATAGCCTGCACTAAAAGCCTCTGTCTACGTCTAAATTTATGGGGGATTACATGGCTTCAATAGAGGCTGTGACCTTCTCTCCGTCCACCTCTGTAGGCCTGTTCATCGTTGTTCTTGATGAGGCCCACTACTGTCGTGTCGTCTGTGAACTTCACAATGTCGTTAGTAGTGGACTTGGCGCAGCAGTCGTGGGTCATCAACGTGAACAGCAGCGGACCCCCCTGTGAACTGGCCCCCCTTGAATCCAAGGGGGGCCAGTTCACTTATCAGATGTTGTGGTATGATGGTATTGAATGCGGAGCTGAAGTCCAGGAACAGCATCCGCACATGTGTGTTTTTCCCTTCCAGATGTTCTAGGCTCCGATGGAGTGTAGAGGAGATGGCGTCCTCTGTGGAGCAGTTGGGACGATAAGCAGCAGTGTCCTTTTATAGGTCTTCACAACCAGAGCCTTTTGAGCTGTGATATCTTGTACAAAAATGTGTTGCACTTAACATGTTTGAACCTTATGTCATGAATTGTTTATTAATGTTGATTATGTGGTTTCTTCTCAAAAAACATGAAATCAATGAGGAAGCAGGCTCCTACCATCACAGCCTTTATCTTTACATCCAGGTCCATTGGAAATGAGATCCCAAAGTTATCTGCATCTGTGAAGCCTTCCTGCATGAACCCACCCCACTGCTTACTGATCTGTCCCACCACAGCTGACTCATCCAAAGACGTCACCTCAAAGATGACGTCAGACATGCAGCTACAGTCACACCATTGCCCCTTGATCTTCAGCTGGAGACTCCTCATCTCATTCAGGATGGTGAACTTGGGCCAACCAGGGTGCCACTTCTGCTCCACGTAGCCAATGGGGTTCCCAGGAGGGCTGTGCACCTCCAGCTCCTGAAGGCAGCAAGGGAAACAACACATGGTGCACCTTAGGGTCGAATCACGGTCAAGACTTCCTGTCCCATGTTATCATGGAGGTGAATGGTGAAGGGTCTACTGGGGCCACATGCCTGCATGGTGAAGATGTAATTTTCCTCTGTGGCCAAAAACACCTGCTGCCCCATACTATTTTTTACTGTGTAAACATTGTTCATCTCCCAGCCAATAGCAATTTCAGCCATTTCAACCCTCTGATGGACCAGAAGCTGGTTGATCTGAGTCAGGTACTCCAGTCCAGGTGGGCAGCCCGCAGGTCGGCCAGGTGTGGGCATCATCATTGGAGCAGTAGGCAGTGTGTATGGTGGTCTGCTGCTCCGTGGCCCACTGGAACTTGATATACTGCATTATGACCAGGCGGCATCCCAACATAGTACACTGGGGCCTGAGGCAGTGGTCCTGTAGTTCCCTGATAAGCCATGAGGAGGGTCTACCTGTTGATACCAAACATAAATTACATAACTAAGTACATTGTATCTTTTTATATACATTTTGCTCAGTTAAAGGTCCACTGTGTAGGATTTAATGTTATCTAGCGGTGTAGATTGCAACTCCCTTGCTTTACCCTCCCCTTAAAAAAAGAAGAAGGTACTGTGGCTGCCAAATGTGCAAAAATGCCTCTATCAAAAGGCAGTTTTGGTTTTGGCTACTGTAGAAACATAATGGTTCAACATGGCAGACTCCATGGAAGACAACCTGTGGTGTCTGTAGATACATTTTTATTGCCAGTTTCGAGTTTAGTTGCCACTGTAGTTTTCTCCTAAACAAACTAATTTATGTTTGGCATGGTTGCAATCTGTAACTTCACCACTGGATGCCGCTAAATCCTACACCCTGGTCCTTTAAGTTTGCTTTAAAGAAATATTTTATTAAGGGACATTTACTTATCCAGTTTCTTTCCAAGAGTTAGACGAGAAGATTGATACCACTCTTGTGCCTGTTCAGGAGGGGATTAGCCTAGCCTAGCATAAAGACTGAAAGCAAGATGAAACAGCTAGCTTAGCTCTGTCAAAAATACACCTGCCAAGACTTCTAAAATTGACTAATTAAAGGGCAGGTTAACAAATTATGTTAAATTAGTTTGAACTAACATAATATAAGCATTCTACTCAGTTGAACAGCTCATAGTGATAATATGAAAGATTC